GTTAAAAGAGTTTAAGTACGGATAATTCGTATTATTCATCGATTCCCGGTCTTGTTGTGATGTTTTATTATACTTGCTACTCTGAAGCTTATTAATGTAGGCCTAGTTCGACTCGCAGTCGTTAATTCATTGAATAAAGAAACTTTTCAAACTAATCGGAAACTCGTGCATTTCGATCGATTGGTATTGTTAACAGAATTTTGTTGCGTTTTTAACTATGACAAGACGACGAAATTAAGCTGAATAAGGGTTTCGCTTGAAGTTATTGACCCTAAAAATATAACGATAATGTAAATTTCCTGTAATTATCGGCTAATATATGACGTTTAATACAAAAAGCTAAGTGCTTCAAGATATTAAGTACAACACAAGAAATTGCTTAATAATGTAGTAACAATAAGACTAAATGTAGTTCAGGAGTTAATGGCGGTAACTGAAAGAAAATGACACCATATTCTCATTAGTTGAAGTCTAACGAAGCCTTTGAACCGGGTTTAATCATGCAATTGTAACTTTTGAGATAAAATCGGAGCGCGTAAGAGAATATGGAGTTGAGGCACTAATTAAAGAAAGAAAGAAAGAAAAAGGGGGAGGCTAGATAGTTCGAGTTAGAACAGTGGTTCCCAACAGGCGGCCCGTGGGCTACATATAGCCTCCGAAAGCCTGATTCGTGGCCTGCACTATGATCATATATTGTAGTGTTGTTCATTATAATGATCAAGAGCAAACAAGCTGAATTTGGGGAATGATGTATTTATTCCTCAACAAGCTCAGGTCGGCGCTTGACTTTATGATTGGGGAATGAGGTATTTATTCGTCAACAAGCTCAGGTCGGCGCTTGACTTTATGATTGGGGAATGAGGTATTTATTCCTCAACAAGCTCAGGTCGGCGCTTGACTTTATGATTGGGGAATTGAGGTATTTATTCGTCAACAAGCTCAGGTCGGCGCTTAACTTTATGGTTGGGGAATGAGGTATTTATTCGTCAACAAGCTCAGGTCGGCGCTTGACTTTATGGTTGGGGAATGAGGTATTTATTCGTCAACAAGCTCAGGTCGGCGCTTGACTTTATGGTTGGGGAATGAGGTATTTATTCGTCAACAAGCTCAGGTCGGCGCTTGACTTTATGGTTGGGAAATGAGGTATTTATTTCTCAA